AGCCAATCTGATGCCCTCTGGGATATCTGGATCATCCCATTCCCTAGCTGGCTTCATCCACAGTTGTTGGAGCATGACTTTTGCACGAGTGGTGAATGGAATGATAAACCCGAGAGGGTCATACTGCCGGGCAAGAATACGATATAGGATCCGCATGGTGAGGACTGTGTACTCCACTGGGCGGTGTTTGAAGCTCAAGGTGTCATGCAAACAATGCCAGGTAAGTCCAAGAGTCCCCTCACACGGGTCAGAGCAGTCATAACTCAACCATAGCTCAGAATGGACAGACCGTGCTTCAACAGGTAAATGATTGATTACAGAGGCATGGTTACTGGCCCATTGACGAACTTCGAAACCACCCTCAATCAAAGTGGAGCGCAGTTTGTTGACCATGGCTTTAGCTTCAAGAGCAGAAGGTAGACTTTGTAAGCAGTTGTCCACGTAAAAGGCACTCAGGACTGAAGTCTGAAGATCAGAATGTTCTGGCGCAAGACTCTGAGCATGCCTTTGGAGCGCGTATATGGCACAACATGGACTGCACGTAGTGCCAAAAGGCAAGACCTGCCATTCATGAACTTTAGGGGGGGTATCTCTCTTCATGCTACGCCAAAGAAAGCGTAACAGGGGCCTATCAGTGGGTAGCAAGCGGATTTGATGGAACATTCCTTTAATATCCCCACTGATGGCAACCTGATGCTCTCGGAAACGGATGAGGACTCCAAGCAAGGAAGGGCCTAACGTTGGACCTGGCAACAGGTAAGCATTAAGGTTTTCACCCTGGTACTGGTAAGAACAATTAAACACCAGGCGGTGTTTGCCATTGTGCTCCACTAAATGATGGGGTATATACCAGGACTCATGACTTTCTCCCACTTCCCATGAATTCAGTTTCTTGACATACCCAGCATCAATGAGTTTTTGGATCTCCTGGTCATAGATGACTGCACGCTCTGGGTTCCTGGATAACTGTCGCTCAATGCAACGTAAAGTTGGCAGGGCTGCTTCAGGAGGCGCATGTAATAAGGGGGCATTTTTGACTCTGAGCAAAGGAGTGGCATATCTCTGTATTCCATTAATCTCATGGCGCTCTGTTTGTTGCTCTAGGCACTCAAAGGCTTGCTGATCCTGCTTGGACCGGATAACAGCTTTAGGATTCTTAGAATATGGAAATATGTCGATTTGCCACAATCGTTCCACATCCCTCTGTAACTGGTCTTTGTCAAGCGAAGTAAGAAGACACCGGGTATCAGAGCTGGATTCCTGCACCAGAGAGGTCGGACCATGCAACGTCCATCCTAAGCAAGTGTGCAGGGCAGCTGGACTTCCAGGGGGGCCAAATCTCACACATTCCGTAGAGCACAAGAGATGAGAATGATCTGCACCCACCAACAGCAATGGTCTGATCTTATGGAACTCCTGCAACGGCAAGCCTTGGAGGTGCTGATAACGTCTCTGCAGAGTGGTGATAGGGTAAGTCTGCTCAGGTAGATCTAGTTGCTTAGCAGTGAAAGCATCTTTGATTTCATTTTTCTTCTGCTGTTGGGAAGCTGATGAAATTGAAAATGACACTGTAGCACCCACAATTTTCTCTGTGCCTTGTCTGATTGTGCGCAAGATTAAGGTCTCCGCCGCCCCATAGAGGCCTAAACTCTCCGCAGCAGATGACAGGAGCATGGTTCTTTCTGAACCGTCGTCCAGAATGGCATAGGTCTCCAGAGATTTCCCGTTATGAGTCAAGACAACTCTTACCACTTTAAGGAGTACAGAATTGAATCCACTGGGCCTACTCAGATAGAGAATTTGTTGTTCACTTTTACGGGTATTCACTTCATGCAGGATTCCTAAATGCCGAACTTGGCATTGGGGGCAACCTTTCTTTAAGTTGCAGTTAGATGAACGATGGGAACGTCCACACTTCCAGCAGCAGCCATTATCCGTAATCCACTTTTCCTTGGCTGCTGCATCAAATTCTTGAAATCCAGGACACCGACTAAGATGGTGAGCTTGACTGTTACAGAAAGCACAGGATGGGGATGCAGATTCACTGGAGAATTTCACACGAGGATTAGTGCTTTGATTCTGGATATGATCTCTAGCACTCTCTTCCTGACTTATACCCTGAAAGAAAGTGGCGGTGGAATGATCTCTGGCCAGTGGCCCTGTGACCCTCCGTGATGACTCACTCACTTGAACAGCCAAACTTTGACATTCTGCTTCCTCCTCTAGCCAATTGGCAAAGCCTATCAGATTATACGGTACATCTGGTCTTAATAGTCGGGTTTGTCTGGCAAAACTGGCAACCTGGTCAGCGGGGAGCTTACTAAGCAGCTGATGGACATGGGACGCACAGGCCAGCTCCCTTGCACCTTCGTCATGGCCCCAGGACTGAAGCATGCCTACCAAAGCTCTAATACGTACGGCAAACTGACTGAATCCTCGAGAATCTCCAGAGCGAACATTTGGAAGGCTCTGGACAGAAGTAATTTCTCTTAACACCAGATGGTGGGGTTGGCCGTACCTCTTCCGAAGAGCTTTTAAAGAAGTAGTGTAAGGCTGTGGATGATGAGCATAAGCGAGGGCAAGATGACGGGCTGAATCCAATTTCAAATGATCAAGAAGAATATGATATTTATACTGCTCATTTTCCTCAAGTGGCAATAAGTTCTCCAAAGCCATATTTAGCATTGCAAACTCATGAGGGTCTTCTCTTCTAAAAAACGGAAATGAAGGCCTCTCACATGCTGACCTTCCGAGCTGAACAGGGGGCACTGATATGTAGGACACAGGAACTGCTGACTGGGCTGGAAGACAGGAGTGAGCAGCTGTCGTAGAATGAACCCTACGGGGAGAATGCACCCAATCCGCAGGTGCTTCATGAGACTGGGACGCCGAGACTGTGGGAATCATATCAGCAACAGAATGGCACTGAACATTTCTAGGGTGACTGGCTGCATACTCTTCTAGGTGCCTACCAGGATCGACTAGTGCTGGGCCCAGAGGCAAATGGCGAGAACTACAAGCAGGCATGACTAGAGGATTAGTAGCAGAAGCTGTCACTCTAATCGGTGGAGCTGGTACAGGCCCGTGGGGAGCCTGAGGAGATTGTCGTGCGGCAGCTAGTGGAGCCACATACTCTGGATGGACAGGTAGGGCATATGGCAGATCAGGAAAAGGATAAGGGAAATACGGAGACCTAAATACTCCACCATTTTGAACACTGATGGCTCAGGACGTGCAAGAACGTTTAGGCCTGCATGCATGTCCGTTGGTTCTCTACTAGATCGGGCAGAGGGTGTGGGAAGCATAGAGACCGGTGGAGATGGAAGAGTGCTTGGTCTACTCAACCTTGGTGGTGAGGGAGGAGGCAGGCTTTGTCTCTTACCCTGATGTTGACGCAGACATTCTCCTAGCTCCTGCACAAAGGATGTCCTAAAGTCCACTGATGGATCTCCCTCTCCTGCCCGTCTCTCAGGAGATGCAGCACGCATGCTTTGTGAATCAGAATTAAAGGAAGAACATTCACCTTGGTCCTGCATATTCTTCATCATTTCTCCCAAATTCATCAACATGCTTTTCATCTGTTTGACCTCCTCGGTCAGAGACTTCACATCAGTGTTTTCAGATGGTAGCAGGGCTTCTGGATTCCCTCCTCCTTGTAATTGACCTCGAACATTTGTAGCAGAAGAGTGGGGATGTACCATTTCATAATCCTGATGCCACACCGGAGGCCTCACATGCCTAGTTGAACGCTTCAGTTTCCCAGGGTTATCTTCTGACTCCATTCCAGCAGCCTCTCCGGCTCGAAGGACCATGTGTAATATTTGGTGTTTGACTGGTTAAGGATGAGTGCTACCAGAATGGTGTGTCGATTAGAACACAGGAATGAGTCCAGAAGTTACTTCTCAATTTAGTTATTGCCATTTGCTTTCTTTCTTGGTTCTCCGATTTCCTTAATATGGCTTTACAATTGCTGCATATTGCTGTTGTAAAGTCATAGACGCAGCAAACACATGCAGCAAGCTGAGGAGCAAACAGTCAGCACAAAGAGAGACACACTAGTGAGGTTGATTAGTAAGGTAATTATCCTCAGGTGAAGGAAGTTCCAGGAAGTGGGCGTGTCTCCCAATAGAGTGACTAATTGGGATTTTTAACACTAGGACTTTATTCAGCATTGTATTGTCTTCTGGTTCTGTTGTAGATCCGCGTTCAGTGCCGCCGCTGACGTAAGACGCTGCTGACGTGTGTCTGGTGTGTGTGTGTGTGTGTGTGTATTCCGGTTCTGTTGTGGATCCGCGTTCAGTGCCGCCGCTGACGTAAGACGCTGCTGACGTGTCTCTGGTGCGCCCGAGCTTCGTTTACAGACTGAGGGAGACGCACGCTGGAAACTAAACAATCTTCACAAACATGTCTAAGGATTTCCACACAGAGGAAGACTTGCATTTTTTTTGCCCAGCCATATTTATTTGAACCCGAATACACGGGCGCACCAGACACACGTCAGCAGCGTCTTACGTCAGCGGCGGCACTGAACGCGGATCCACAACAGAACCGGAAGACAATACAATGCTGAATAAAGTCCTAGTTTTTGTTATTTTTGGACCAAAATGTATTTTCGATGCTTCAACACATTCTAACTAACCCACTGATGTCACATGGACTACTTTGATGATGTCTTTATTTCCTTTCTGGACAAGGACAGTATACCGTACATACATTTACAATGGAGGGACAGAAAGCTCTCGGACTAAATCTAAAATATCTTAAACTGTGTCCCGAAGATGAACGGAGGTCTTACGGGCTTGGAACGACACACCCTCATATGTCATTAATGACATCATTTTCATTTTTGGGTGAACTAACCCTTTAATAGGGAGTGGCCAGGCTCTCCGTAGACGGGCTCTGGTGTTGCCAAATAATGCAACCGTTGAGATCACGAGATGTGTTGAAACAAGCTTTCTGAAGTGATCCTTGACTCTTGTTGTTTTCTTCTCTTCTTTCAGTGTTGTCGCTGCCCATTCCAGTAATGGGTTTCCAGGATAAGCAGAAGGTGTTTGTGAACGGCACCTGCGTGTTGAACGAGCCTCGCTTCGTCCTGGTGGGCTCATCCGTGGCCTTCTTCGTCCCTCTGGTCATCATGGTGGTCTGCTATTACCTGACTCTCCGGGATCTCCAGAAGCACAGCTCATCTTTCCCGCAGGAGAGCAAGAGCCTCTCCACATGTTCCTCCGCTAAGATAACAGACACAAGTCTGCTCAACAGTGAGTCCTCCTCTAAGAAGTTCACATTTTCGATCAGCAAACGTGTGTTCAGATCTCCACGAGGCCAGGATAAAAAAGGCCTTATGCAAAATATCCAAAACGAGCAACGAGCCTCCAAAGTCCTGGGGATCGTCTTCTTCCTCTTCCTGGTCATGTGGACTCCGTTCTTCATCACGAATGTGCTGATCGCTCTCTGCCGGGACGACTGCGGGGAGGTTCTCTATAAACTCATTAACTTCTTTGTCTGGGTGGGATACGTGTCCTCAGGAGTGAATCCCCTGATCTACACCCTTTTCAACAAGACGTATCGCCAAGCCTTCGCTCGCTACCTACAGTGCAGATATCATGAGGAGAAGAAGGTCCAGTCCAACAGAACATGCTGACACACGCTTACAACTGATCAGTAATAGACTAGTCGGATTAATATTCGCCATCTCAAATGATCTATGTACTTCTAATATGAGGCTGATTGTCTGTTGTGAGTTTTATAAGATCAGTTTATCTTTCTTGTGTTACAGGACGTAACAAATGTTTCAGACAAAAGTAGGGGATAAAGGCACGTTTTACCCCGGCGTTCCTTTAGCACTTTCATAAACACACGCTTTTCAAGATGCACGTGGAAATTAATCTGATCCTTGAAATTATCGTGAATCAATAAAGATTGATTCTGAGCTAATCTGATCTAATATGTGTTTTTTATTTTTTATTTTGTAGCAAATCTTCCTAGACACTGCAACATTATCCTATAAACTGCAACATCCTCCTATACACTGCAACATCATCCTATACACTGCAACATTATCCTATAAACTGCAACATCCTCCTATACACTGCAACATCATCCTATACACTGCAACATCATCCTATACACTGCAATATCATCCTATACACTGCAACATCATCCTATACACTGCAACATCATCCTATACACTGCAACATCATCCTATACACTGCAATATCATCCTATACACTGCAACATCATCCTATACACTGCAACATCATCCTATACACTGCAATATCATCCTATACCAGGGTTTCCGTTGTCCGGTAATTACCGGACATTGGCCGGGAAAAAAATGAAATGTCCGACAAAATTAAATCTCTCCGGTCAAATTGTCCGATTAAAATTGCGTAATAATCCCGCCCCCCTCACACAATATGAATTTGAGAATAAGCCTAAAATGTATAAAGCAAAAATACACCGACCTTTGGCTTATAAAGGAACAGGCTCTACCGTTCGTTTGAAAGTTATTAAACAACATCGCATGCTGCATTTCAAATAAAGCGCACGCCTAGAACGGCTGTAATATAGACCTAAACAACGAACGATTGAGTGAGACGTTTCAAATATGGCCAGGTCCATTGATATTATTGATAAAGTTGATAAAGTTGACGATGCAGACTCGCCATCTTCGCAGTAGTGAACGCGCCTATAGAGAGAAGTGTGCACGCGCCGACGCCTCCGTGTCCTGATTAGCCTATATTGTCCACTATATTTGCTTCTTATTTAATAATCCAGGCAAATTTGTTGATGAAACATTGATTAAAATTAATATACAATTTATACAAAACGAAATTTTCAAGCAAAAATAATATTCGAAGATCGCTGGGTTGATTATTATTTGAAAATCGCACCCCTCCACCACATGCACACACACATGCATTAGACTACACACCAGAGCATGTGAGCAAAGCGGAGCGGTGTGACGCTTATAAGTTAAAAAACTTAAATATACGTTTCATTTTTATAAATAATATAATGTTATTATTTTTTTATTTCATCTGTTGATTAGGGTATATGAAAAGGGAACCGCATGAGATGAGTAAGATAGGATCATAAGATGACCAATAGGCCTATATATCGGAAAACATTTGGAATTGGTCAGACATGATTTTGACCACTTATTTAGTTTTGTTTTGTAGAAAGCCTTTCTTTAAAGTTTATTTCGTTTTGTATAAATTGTATCTTCATTTTAATCAATGTTTCATCAACAAATTTGCCTGGATTAAAAAATAAGAATTTATTCATATGAAGTGTGCATTTCTGGCGCGTTCACTACTGCGAAGATGGCGAGCATGCATCGTCAACTTTATCAATTTATCAACAATTTAAATGTTTCATGCATAATCATTACTTTCGCCGGTTCTTTGTGGCAAGCTTTATTTCAGGTGTTGTGTGATATCTCTGCGCCCAAGTAGCAGTGCTTCGCCTGTTCAGAGTCTCCGCAACGGCGATAGATTGAAACGCGCGTCCGAGTGAAGATTGCGCAACTCGCGCAGCGCGTCGTCCATGCAACTGATAGCAGCGGACACGAGCGCTCAGCTTGATTTAAAAAACAACTGATTTTAGCGCTAGATCTCTTATTTAATAGCAAACTAAATGAATGATCTGCTAGTTAAATGGAGATGTTAACTAGTTAGCTAGTTATTTATTTGTATTAGGTACATCCATGCCTCAATGTTTCAAAAAGTGAATCCTCAACTTGACTAATTAAGAGGCGATATTTGACCGGCATATCATCAAAATGTCCGTTAAACGAAAACTCTGCCGGTCACTTTGACCGGCACCATTTTTTTCTAGCGGAAACTCTGTCCTATACACTGCAACATCATCCTATACACTGCAACATCATCCTATACACTGCAACATCATCCTATACACTGCAACATCATCCTATACACTGCAATATCATCCTATACACTGCAATCTCATCCTATACACTGCAACATCATCCTATACACTGCAACATCATCCTATACACTGCAACATCATCCTATACACTGCAACATCATCCTATACACTGCAACATCATCCTATACACTGCAACATCATCCTATACACTGCAAAATCATCCTATATACTGCAACATCATCCTATACACTGCAACATCATCCTATACACTGCATCATCATCCTATACACTGCAACATCATCCTATACACTGCAACATCATCCTATACACTGCAACATCATCCTATACACTGCAAAATCATCCTTGACACTGCAACATCATCCTATACACTGCAACATCATCCTATACACTGCAACATCATCCTATACACTGTAACATCATCCTATACACTGCAACATCATCCTATACACTGTAACATCAATCTAGACACTGAAACATCATCCTATACACTGCAACATCATCCTATACACTGCAACATCATCCTATACACTGCAACATCATCCTATACACTGCAAAATCATCCTTGACACTGCAACATCATCCTATACACTGCAACATCATCCTATACACTGCAACATCATCCTATACACTGTAACATCATCCTATACACTGCAGCATCATCCTATACACTGTAACATCATCCTAGACACTGCAACATCCTCCTATACACTGCAACATCATCCTATACACTGCAACATCATCCTATACACTGCAACATCATCCTATACACTGCAACATCATCCTATACACTGCAAAATCATCCTTGACACTGCAACATCATCCTATACACTGCAACATCATCCTATACACTGCAAAATCATCCTTGACACTGCAACATCATCCTATACACTGCAACATCATCCTATACACTGCAACATCATCCTATACACTGCAACATCATCCTATACACTGCAACATCATCCTATACACTGCAACATCATCCTATACACTGCAATATCATCCTATACACTGTAACATCCTCCTATACACTGCAACAACATCCTATACACTGCAACATCATCCTATACACTGCAACATCATCCTATACACTGCAATATCATCCTATACACTGCAACATCATCCTATACACTGCAACATCATCCTATACACTGCAACATCATCCTATACACTGCAACATCATCCTATACACTGCAAAATCATCCTTGACACTGCAACATCATCCTTGACACTGCAACATCATCCTATACACTGCAACATCATCCTATACACTGCAACATCATCCTATACACTGCAACATCATCCTATACACTGCAACATCATCCTATACACTGCAATATCATCCTATACTCTGCAACATCATCCTATACACTGCAACATCATCCTATACACTGCAACATCATCATATACACTGCAACATCATCCTATACACTGCAACATCATCCTATACACTGCAACATCATCCTATACACTGCAAAATCTTCCTTGACACTGCAACATCATCCTATACACTGCAACATAATCCTATACACTGCAACATCATCCTATACACTGCAACATCATCCTGTACACTGCAACATCATCCTACATCCTATACACTGCAACATCATCCTATGCACTGCAACATCATCCTATACACTGCAACATCATCCTATACACTGCAACATCATCCTATACACTGCAAAATCTTCCTTGACACTGCAACATAATCCTATACACTGCAACATCATCCTATACACTGCAACATCATCCTATACACTGCAACATCATCCTATACACTGCAACATCATCCTATACACTGCAATATCATCCTATACACTGCAACATCATCCTATACACTGCAACATCATCCTATACACTGCAACATCATCCTATACACTGCAACATCATCCTATACACTGCAACATCATCCTATACACTGCAACATCATCCTATACACTGTAACATCATCCTATACACTGCAACATCATCCTATACACTGCAACATCATCCTATACACTGCAACATCATCCTATACACTGCAACATCATCCTATACACTGCAAAATCATCCTATACACTGCAACATCATCCTATACACTGCAAAATCATCCTTGACACTGCAACATCATCCTATACACTGCAACATCATCCTATACACTGCAACATCATCCTATACACTGCAACATCATCCTATACACTGCAACATCATCCTATACACTGTAACATCATCCTATACACTGCAACATCATCCTATACACTGCAACATCATCCTACACACTGCAACATCATCCTATACACTGCAACATCATCCTATACACTGCAACATCATCCTATACACTGTAACATCATTATATACACTGCAACATCATCCTATACACTGCAACATCATCCTTGACACTGCAACATCATCCTATACACTGCAACATCATCCTATACACTGCAACATCATCCTATACACTGCAACATCATTCTATACACTGCAACATCATCCTATACACTGCAACATCATCCTATACACTGCAACATCATCCTATACACTGCAACATCATCCTTGACACTGCAACATCATCCTATACACTGCAACATCATCCTATACACTGCAACATCATCCTATACACTGCAACATCATCCTATACACTGCAACATCATCCTATACACTGCAACATCATCCTATACACTGCAACATCATCCTATACACTGCAACATTATTCTATACACTGCAACATCATCCTTGACACTGCAACATCATCCTATACACTGCAACATCATCCTAATCCTATAC